ATACCGCCGTCCAATTTAATTACGAAATCGGTTAGGTTATTATTTAGAATGTCAACGAGGACATACTTCGAACATTTATTGTAATTGTTTGCGTTATTTATTTTCTTATTTTCTTCATTTATGTATTGAATAGATTAAATTAGTAGAATACCAGGTGCACATGACCTACAAATAATTGAAGGTTGGTTCACAATGAATTGTGATGTCAGTGCGTGCCATGTGAAGTCAAGTTATCGTAAGTTTAAGAAAAATTTATCCTAAAGTTGCTATGGCCTCACATGGCTTATTTAAAAAAATCTTACCGAGTGCTCTTCATCATAAAGACTATGAGTTGCTGTTCATAGTCACACAAGTTGCGCGTTTTGGGAATGTGAACCGCGCACACCTCATAGATTGATGTGTTTTTTTAAAAATCGAACATAGGGGAATTACATTGCATGCAAACTCCTATGTTCGCATTTTAAAAAAACTCACTGTATATGTGACAATGGTGTGAGAAGTAAATTCGCGGGCAGCCTCAGACGCCGAACCTGCACCAGTTGCCTTGCGGAGCCGAACCGTGCATTATTTTATTTATGATTATTACACCGAGAACCAAATATCATCTCCATCTGTAACAGTGCCCGGTATAAGATGTCCAGTCCGCTCACTTTAACAGATTAAGTCTGGTTTTTGTTTTAAATTTAGGAGCGACCACGTATGAATATTGGTGTGTGAAACAATTACTTCGCGGTTGGCATTTTTGGCCAAAGTGCAAAAAAGATCCTGAGTCGCTGTAAAGATAAGCGGTTTCACTTCGAGTAAAAAGCATATTAAGTATTAAATAAACGGATTACACCTTCCCCACGAAATGTAATAATAGTTATGTATAATTTTATAGAAACACGCCTAGTTTCGACGTTTCAGTCATCTTCAGTTGAAAAATAAAAGGATCGGTTGTAGTTAGTTTGAGGTCTTAACCTAACTTTTCACGTCTTCCACGTGCTAAGGTTCTTCAATTAGTTAATTAAAACAATGTAATCTATTTAATTAAATTAACTTTGCTTTCCTCATATACCTCCAATTCCGGCTTCACCGTTTTCCCTAAGTTTTGAAATGTAATTCATTTTTTTATTCCGTTTATAACAACCCCCCATGGGACCCTCGTGTGCAGTAATGTTCCTACATTAATCGTGCGGTTCCAACTAACCTGCCCTTAATTGGGTCTCAATTACGATGTTAAAAACATAGAACTCCGTCCCGACATTACTACCTCTGTTTATTTTCTATGGATACAACAAGTATTTCCAACTTTAAATTACTCTATTACCGACATTTTTTACCATCTATTGTAAATTACAACCGACTCTTTTATTTTTTACCTGAAGATAACGGAAACGTAGAAACTACTCGTGTTTTTATAAGATTATTTAAATTTCATGGGGAAGGAATAATCCGTTTATTTAATCATTGGAACTCCATTTCGAGCCAGGATGGACAACAAAATTTCAAACATATTAAGTGGCGAGAGTCCCTAAATATCGAGTACGTCGTGGAGAAACGTTTAAGCAAATTCGGATTTGTGAAAAATTGTGGGGTATCTGCAATTTTATAACGTGCGAATAGACGAACTGTAGCCGATTGAGGGACGAACATTTTCCAGTCAGAGAACCGCTTTTCTATTAAAAAACCGGATTAAATAATAAACAAAAAATTTCCTTTTTTCGGATTGCTAATAGTAACGGCTAGTTAAAAACCAGTGCTTCAAAGTTGAGTGACGTCATTGAATGGACAGCGCCTTGTGCGATAAATAAAATTTTGTATACAACGGAGTTTAAAGACAATTAATCGGTGCCTTTACTCGTAACAAAATCTATTTAATAAATTGGGAAAAATTAAATTCATCACAGTGGTCTTTGGCCTATTATTTCTGTGCATAATCACGATCTTGAGTATGAATTTCGCGAAATTCAAGCCGGTTTGCTTAGATTCGCAATACGGATAGACATTTTTAACGCAATTTAATAAGTAAAAAAATGTGCTATTTGCGTTTGGTGTGTTCGTCCGCTCGCCTGTCCAGACCCACTTCTGCGGTTTTGATCTACCTTTCTAATTGTCCTAGAGTCCTTGAATGTTTTGAAAGTAGTCTATACCTTGAAGGTGTGCCTGAGATGCTGTTTTTGAAAGTGAAACGTGTATAACTTTTACATACGACAACCAATTGGTCTTAGATTTAGCATACGTATGCCTTCAGTGGTCCCAAGTGAGGGGGAGGGGGAGGGTGAACACATGTTCTAGCGTTCATAGTATTCTAAAGAAAGGTCTCATCGAAATGAACTGGTTTCTACAAATTATAACTTTTCTGCACGATTCCTTTTCGAGATCTGTGGGTAACTCAGGTAGGGGAAGAATTAATTTTGGTTTTCATGGTATTCTAATTAAAAGTTCCAACAAAGTGAACTGTTTTTTTTACAAACTACCGCCCATCTTACTGACCCCTTAGCAAAAGAGTGGATTTGGGGGTGGAACTGGTTTTATCCTATCATGGTGCTCTAATGAAAGGTCTCAACAAAAGGAATTAATTTCACAACCATACCCCTCCTGCTCCTCCTCGCCCCTTTAAGATTAAATATCTCGATAACGGTTTTTCGAAGAAAAGTACTCACAAAGGCATAAGACATATCTATCGGTGAAGTCAAAGCGAATATCTCTAGAAATATCTTGAAAATGAAGTGTCTGAAGATAGTATCGACTAGACGAGACAGATCTACTGGCGATGCAAAAGCTTAATTGAGATTATCTCGAAGATGTTGGAGGAAGGTACTTACAAAGGGAAAATGTAATATTTTGGAGAATTTCTCTGTTTTCATTCTGGTTGCGTTATATAGCCTAGATTTTGAATGTATGCCAGGCGACCTTTAAATGGTTATGTGTAAAGAGCCTCCTCCCCGTTAATCATCTAGCAAGAAAGTGAACATCGACAAATATAGCACCTTATAACCCAAACATCGCGTTATTTCGGTTTAAAAAATGCGCTTTATTTGTACAAGAGTTGTGCACAATTTATACTTGTTTTGTTTTTCATTTCCATATTTCTAAAAAGGGCATTTTCCAAGATAAGATCAATTGTTACCAGAAGAGAATATCACTGTAAGTAAATTTTTTGATTTGCATAGAGTAGCGGTCGATTATTTTTAGGAACTTACATGTCATTTAATATGAATTAATTTTGATATTCCTAAAGGAATCGACCCGCGAGAATTACTTTTCATAAAACAGATATTGTATTGGTGGATAATAATCGGATCCAAACAAAGGATTTTGGTTATTTGGTTTCATTGATAATTGGAAAATTTGCATTAATTTCAGCGAAACCATTCCTTTGCTTGGATTAAAGCTTTCTTTAGGATACAGAGGTGTGTGCATATTTTTGGCAGAACAATGTTCCAGTAATTTATTATGTGATAAATATACCTAACTGCTTAGATAAGGATCAAGTTTAGCATCAACTCGTGATCATCTTTTGAATTTTTTTATGAACCTAACTAATATTTTACAACCGTACAGTGTGGAGAAAAACGATTTAATAAAACCAGAGCATTAGGTAGATTTTGAATTTCAGATTTTGAGAGGAGATAAGAGGCCAGACTTCCGCAAGTTGAGGGTATAAAAACATTCTTATTACTGAGCTAGCCGTGGCAAATTCAAATTAATTGTCATATTCGGATTTTTGGCCAGTGTCGTAGAGGTTCAATTTTATTTTATGCAAATAGGGTCTTCAACCCTTATAAAATGTAACTAAGCTCTTACACATTCAAACCGTTATTGGTCTCTAGGCACATTTTTAGTTTGCCAAAGGGCTTTAACACCATTTTAACAAATTAGGGCACTTGGGCGTGTGATTTTGTGATTTAATCTAAGTGATCTCCAAGGAAAACTTGGCGCGCTTTTTCATTAGTTTCCATTTCATACTTTACCTTCCTTTTGGAAGGTCACTACGTTGCATATACCATTAGTGGACTTCGTGGGAAACTTTTCGGTGCTTTTGGGCTCATCTCATTTGTGGACCGTGTTTAAAATGCGTATTGTAATAGAAATTAGAGATTAGAAGTCAAATCCTGTAAATAGTAAAGAAGGGTGGGAATTAGATTACCGTAGCTGGCATCTTTTAATCTGTTTTACGGTATGAAAAATCGGTAACGCGCAATCAATCAATAGGACGAGAAGAGGGACGAATCAACGTAAAGACGATTAAAAAATTCTAATAATGATTTTCAAGTCCCGACAATTTTAGTTAAAGCAATTTGCTATCAATCATCCATTAGAGGAGTATTTAACGTGAGTATAAGCTTGCGATAACATCAGTTCAGCTCCCTTTTAATCAGTTTGTAATCATCAGTTTAACCTGCGTGACGAGCCTCTTATAGAACTTCCACCCTGCAGCCATCCGCATATTAGTCGACCCCCATCTACTTCGTAATAAAGGAGCTGCTCTTTAAATGGAAACTGAAAGGACTCAACAGGGACGAATTTAAATATTTTTCTAATTCCGCTCGTAATTACTTTATGAGATAATGGGAAAGACGAAAGATTTTGTAACCAACGCCGTCGTTTTCAAGTCTGCACGAATTTTGTCCAATTAATATTTCCGCGATTGTCTACGGCAAAGGAATCTCATTGATTTGTGCTGTTTCCAGCCTTATATTATAATGTGTCAATAAATTTGCATAGTCCGACTCTGAGTACCGTTTAGAGGGAAGAGGAATCTTCGCAGAACCGTTTATTGGATGCATGTAAATTTCCATGGCAACGTCCCCTCGCCATGTCTCTATTTTAGAAAACAAAAACGATATGGATTTTTCCTTAAAATGCGCAAGAAGTTTCTTTACAACTGTTGTCGTATACTTCTTTTTAGATTTTTATGCGAAAGGATACGTTGTTTGTGGAGTTAGTATCGTTTACGGATTAAAATTAATGCGGGAATGTCACCTTCTATAATGTCAACAAAGTTGTTTACTTACACTAGGAATGTTGTCGTTTGTGCAGACACCATCTTGAAGAAGTCTATCTCTAATTTCCCAGGCAAATATGGAAGGACATTCCCGCTTGAAAGCGGATATTTTCGCCACCACTTCTGCGGTGGCAACTCGTGGTTTCGAGCCTCCGATTGCTCGTGGTCGAATAGACCCGGTTTCATAATACCTATAATAACGCATCGTTCGTACATCGAGATTTAGTGGAGACTCACTAACCTTCCAAGAATTTTGGAGACGCAACCGTTGGAGACCTGCAGAATTCTTGAGATGTCACAAGGTCGAGCTCCGGAATGTGCTAACTCCACAATCTTCTGCCGAGTGGAATCTGGCAATGGACGTCCGCCGACAAAAACACCCCCTAGCTGGTTCACACCGCTATGACCTAGGCACAGTCATACCACAGCAATTAAAATGGGTACTCTGAGAGTAATTGCAATATATATACTGCGCTTAATCAAACGGTGTGAAGGTAGCTAAAGACTGATCGTCAACCGACAATCTTTGCCAGTAACGGGATCACGATCGGTAAACCTATTCACAGAATGTGGCGTGATTTAAAACTAAATCACGACACGTCAGTAGTGATTCTGCGGCGTTTACCGAAAGGGATCTCGTTTTTAGACAATCATTTGATTCACTTGCCTACGTTCCTCCACCAAGAGAATTTCTTTCTTGGCCTATCTTGGTTTTACCTGGAAAAAGAAAAAAAATTGTACACATAATGCACATCATCCCAAACGTTGTCATGTACAGTGTAACGGTAGCTCTCAATTAGTTCTGGAGTTAGAAATGTTGTAGAGTAGAGCAATTTGAGCATTGCATATCATACAAAACGTATACAGGTTGTCGAAATTTAGGGGGTCGATCTTTACGTGTAGTGGAACATAATAAGATTTTTCAAACCGTGTTGGAAATGAAGTTTGTCGTTGCTGGTGTAACAGGTTGCCGCTTTAGAATTTAAAAAAAGTCTTTTTTTTATTGAGCACAGGAAAACTTAAACATATACCGCTTCATAGCGGACATGAACCAACGCGTGTCTGGGAATAAAAAGCGATAAGAACGCGTACATTTTAGAGAAAGGTATGCATTTTCGAGATAAGCGAAGGGAGGTACCGGATTGTAAGGGGGTGTTTCGGTAGACGGGGGTTAGACTTTAAAAAGAGCTTGCCCGCCAAAGCTCTCTTCAAATAGAAACGGGATTACATAAACTCGTCATAAACAAAGAAGTGTTTTCATTGGATCGCCAAATGTAACGGTTGGATAAAAGCAAATTCCTCACAGACATCATTAGACAACGCATTGTGCGATAAATAAGAATTTTGTCTACAACGGCATACGGCAGGAAATTTAAAGACAATTAATCGGCACATTTTATCTGCAGTACCACCTAATCAATGAATTGAGCAAAATTAATATCAACACAGTGGCACATTGTCTTATTTATTCCTGTGCATAATCACGAACTAGAGCATCAATTTCGCGAAATTAAAGCCGGTTTGATTGGATTCACGATTCATACGCACCCGAGTACGCACCTTTCTTCCACTTGCATTAATTACGAAGACAGTTACCAGAAGAGAATAATATTCCCCACGTCAATAACTGTAAGTTATTTTAAATTTTTTGATTTGTATAAAGTAGTAATCGGTTTTCACAAGAAATTTTGTTAGAAGTAATTTTAATATTCCTAAAAGAATCGACCAAATTAAATTACCTGCATGAAACGATTTTGGTTTATATTTAGTGTTAAGAATTCGATTCAAACAAAGGAATTTTGTTATTTTGTTACATTTATTGGGAATTTTTCGTTTAATTTCAGTGGTACAATTCCTTTGGTTGGATTAAAGATTTGTTTAGCATTCAGAGGTGTTTTAATGTACCAGTAGTTGATTGCGCGTACAGATGAATTTAATATTGCCACGTTATCACAAGACAGGCATCGCATTTGTTTTTGTATTTCTTTTTATGAATTAAACTAATATTTTACATGCAGGAACGTGTAAAGGAAAATGGAAAATGAGTTCAATCACACCCTAGCATTAGATTTTGAATTTCAGATTTGGAGAGGAGATAAGAGAGGGGTGTTAACAGCATTTTTATTACTGAGCTACCTTTGGATAAAATAAATCTAATTGTCATACCAACATTTTTCCCAGTGTCGTAGAGGTTCAATTTTATTTTATGCAAGTGAGGTCTTCGACCCTTATAAATGTAACATAGAAAAAACTTTTGTTTATGATTTAAATAGAAAATTTAAGCCGTCACACTGCGCATTTCAGTTCAAGAGAGTATTGTTTTTTATAGAATCCGGATTACAGAGCGACGCGGTAGCGAGAATTTAGCTCACATTCAGTTGTGTTAATTGCAGGTATTTGGTTACAAGTGCAAAGTCAGCATGAAATCACGCTTTGATCGTAAAAAGCTAAGTCATCCGAATTTCAGTGAGAAAGAAGAACCTCCTTTCTTCATGCTTTCGTCAATATAACAATACCCAGCGAAATTCGCACCTCCTATTGGGAAATCTTATGTTTTTGGATGAGATATAGGCTCGGTTTCGTCAGCTCCGCCGCCTCACACACCTGCCAAATTTCGGACCGATTTATTTACACAGAAAACTTCGCCGATTTAAACCAAGAAGCATTTAATATGCTGGCGGCGATGGTTCGTGGTTGATTCGGATAACGCAAATAGAATATGCGGGCAGCGATGGTCGCATTTTGAAAATACTCAAAATATATCGCCAGCATATTAAATGCTTCTTGGTTTGAAATCGGCATTTTAGAAAAGATTACAAATTCAAAAAACTGCACTTTCTGAATGTAAACACAGCAGAATAATTTACCAATTACGCCTGTTATTATTTTATAATGCAACGTGTTTCATTTATTTAATTTTCCAAGGCCTACCTAAACGTAGAAGGTGCTTTTCCAAACAATCTTTCGCGCCATCGACAAATACCGGAAATACGTCAAAAGTAAATTTAAGATACAATTTAACCATTTTTATTAATTAATCTCATTTCCCCAATATTTGAGGTTAGGAACGAGATTTTGCAAAACGGTTTTCACTGGCCTCTTTGGATGTTATTTGGCTACTTTTTCATAAAGAAAAAGTCACATAATTTCCATTTGATTTTTTTGATTTTTTAGGATTTTCGATCATAGTGTCAAAACTAGCCCCCTGGAGGAGAAGGATTCAACTAAATTAACTATATTGTTGATTATATGGTTGATTCTCATTGCCCAAGGAATGCTCTTTTCAAAGATACCAAATTTGGTACAATCGGTCAAACGGTTAAGAAGTTAAAGCAGGTTATTGCAAAAACAATTGAACGCCCCACACCATCTTTGTTTTTGAAATAACTGAGAGTTTTTGTTTTTATGAAAAAGATAGATAAACTGGTTCTCTTTAAAAATGGAAAAAAAATGTTTAGTTTATTATGCGAAATTGAAAGAAATTGCAATTTTAAAATTTAAGATGGCAGTTACGCCCTCTGGTGGTCATTTTTAGAACTTGAAAATATTTTCCAGCGATTCTTCATAATCGATTTACCCAACAATTTTTTTACCCCTAACTGGCCGAGGCCGAGGAACAGTCTTATTGGGTCACCCGGTACAATTCATTGTCAATTATGCAATTTGACGTAATTTATGTCAATAACTAAGAAAATTGATATTATGTAGTGAAAACTGTAGGAGTAACTATTACCTCTGTATTTATACTATGCTATTACCAAAGGGTACTCTTTGCTATTACTATATAAGGCCTTATAAGTCTCGGACAGACGGACGGATAGAGAAAGTGGCTGAAATAGAGCACCCAACTTCGTTGGAAAATGCGCCAAAAAGTATTTTTGTGAGAATATGGTGTTCCCGATCTGTACAAAAGGTTGTCAACATTTTTGATAGTGTGGGGTTTATTTTGTGGAAATAATATCGCTGTTCTCAAACAAAGGTCAAGTGTCTAGTGGCTACAACAGTAATTTGACAGATATTGAGTGCTATGGAGTGGAAATATGTAATATATAGGCGCACTTATAGAGTTGTTCATCCCATACCGCCGTGGCTACATATTTGATATTTCAAATTAGCCGACGTCGATTTGAAACCTTTGCAATGCAATTCTTTCTGTGCGGAAGGAGCAAACTCCACTTAGGTCAAAGACTTAGGTGTCTACTATTACCTCTCGAAACGGAATTTTATGCAACACCAACACACAAGACTGCACCATTTTTCCCATTCAACACAATCAAAATTTCAATAATAACAGTCACCATGCAATTCCACTCGATCTGGAGAGTGTATGGAATGCAAGATTTGGATACCAATTGTCTGTATCTGATTTTGACAAAAATACGAAGGAATAGTTCGCAGTATACAGGGTGTCCCGTTTTCGACACTTATATCGGGTATCTCTATAATTGTTAGTCCTCAATCAAAAAAGTGCTCTTTTATGAAACCTAACCTCATTTTTTAAAACGCCCTATACATTTAAATTAAAAAGATAGCATATTGAATTCTCATCTTTTCATAAATATAACAAACCAGGGATAATATTAAAAAAATGATTAAGAAATTTCAAAAAGTTTACAAAAATACTTGACAAAATTTAAAAAAAGGTTCAATTGATTTTTAAAAAAAACTCAAAATCAGATTTTTGAATTTTTGATTTTTTAAAAATCTTTTTGAATCAATTTTAATTTTTTCAGTTCTATATTTTTGTAAAAAAATTTTCATATTAATATGTTCTTAGGATCAAATTATAACCATCCATGACCATACGGTGATGGATGACGATACGGAGTACGGAGAAGCTCTTGTTTCCATCAAAATTGGTCAAAAATTATATATCCCAGATCCCAATATGATCATTTTATTATGGTTCAAAAATGGTGCTTGATGAATTCCTAGTCTGAATGCAGGCTCTTTAATAATAATAAATAATAATAATAACGTTTATTGTAAGCAAGAAATCTTACAAATGGACAAGGGTTCGCCAGGTTAGGCGATCTACCACCCTTCCCAATCAAATCATAACTAAAAGGTGTAACACAAGCTAATAAAATTAACATAAATAATTACTAATCATTGCGTTACAGTATTGACAAATATATGAGGATAATAATATTTCTACAAACTAAGTATGAAAATAACAAATTATTTAAGAAATAAAAGTCACCCTAAGATTGTGGGAGTTTTACAATTTCCAAAAAGCATTTCTTGAATTGGTTTGGGTTACAGTTCAGTATATCAATTTATTATTTCAAAGCAAAACTTCCCATATACTTGCTGGTTTTCTGCCGCGGAATTGTGAACGTGTTATAACGCAGCTGCAAGGTATGAGTTTCTGTCCTTTTTTAGCGCATTTTTTAAGAATTAAAAAATGT